TGTCCGCTACTCAGATCTCTGTCCTGCCTTTGGGATTCTATTGAGAGCATTTCTCCTACCCACTCTCAGGCTCCTGGCTGAGAGGTAGCCAGTTGATAAGGAGATTTTCAGTTCTCAGATGTGCATTTGACATCTTCCCAACTGTATGGAAACTGTCCCCTCCAGTTGGAGCCTGAGGACAGAGGAGTCCCCCAAAGAAGCCGTTATAGACAGTGGAGCCAGCTAATATGGCAAATAGCAGCTGCGTTGGGTGGGTTTGTGAGGATCTCCACGCCTCTTCATTTTTTTTTTCTCCAGTAATTTTTTTTATGCATACAGATATTCAGATATAGAAAGTTGAACAGTAGGTCAAAATCTTAATCTAGATCTTTCTTTCTTGACTAATAGTGACCTTATAGTTAGTAAAAAGGAGCTCTGGTGGCCTTGTGGTAAAGAGGTGCACTGCCAACCCAAAGGCATGTGGTTTAAAACCACCAGCTGCCCTGTGGGAGAAACATGGGCAATCTCCTCTTGTGCAATTTTATTGCTTCTGAAAACCCACTGGAGGGTCAGCTACGAGTCAGTCCTGAGTTGAAAAGATCAAACAACAACAACAACAACACAGTTAGTGCAAAGTAGAACGGCTCATAGGATTTCCAAGGCTCTGACGTTTTATGGAAGCAAACTACTATGTATTTCTCCCAGAGATTGACTGGCAGAGGCTGAGGAAAGAGGTGTCTACTTCTTCCTGGAGCCAGTGCACTGTGGACAATGTGTAGTAGCTCTTGAAGCAGTGGGTTTGGAGGTAATCTCTGGTGACTTTGCTGGCAAAATATGCGGGCTGTTTTCATTTTGTGTGAGAGGCAGGGAGGGGTCGCTGTGAGTGAGCAGCTCCTCTGCCCCTGAGCTTACCAGCCTTAAGCTGATCCTGCTCTTTCTTCTTCCCCTGCTGCTAAGGAGAAGGGGTGAAGGTGAATGAGCCTGTGCCCACCCAAGAGAAGACGGGACTGGGGCTTAAAGGATGGCCTTCCTGGGGGGCTCTGGCCCCATCCTGCCCCAGGCCCCTTCACCAGGGCTTCCAGCCACTGGCCTCCCATAGGCTGGGCAGCTTCAGCCTGTTTAGTGCCGCTGTTTTTATAAGCTAATGAGGGCAGTGTGTGAGCCACAGGCAATGATGCTGGGATATTAACTGTGACAGGAAGCTTGATCATAATTATCTTAACGAGGATAGGGTTAATTACAGTGGAAACTTAAAAGTTCTCTCTGTTTGACTCCACCAGAGCTGAATGCATTGTGATGTTTTGTCATTTTGATGTGACTTTGGAAATGGCACAGGGACTCTCAGGGCTCCTGGGGGAGCCAGGCACCCAAGGTAGCAGAAATGGTACCTATGGGTGAGGTACTGGGCAGCTTTCCTGCCTGTGGAGGGGCAGAGATAGCAACATGGCACACCTACAGTTCTGGTTAAGTACTCAGAGCAGCCCACCTGCCATGGCGAACCAGCCTGTCTTCTGCCTTGGGCTTGACCTGCACCAAAGTCTCTTTTTAGCTGCTTGTGCTGAGGTGGTGGGGAATTTAGTCCTTGACTATGTGGTGGCAGAGATACTGCCTTGCCACTGCAACCTACCCCTTGGACATCAGCAGCCCAGGAAGCGAGTCCCTGAAGGAAGGGACCCCTGCAGGGTCCCCAGCAGCCTCACTAGGTTTAAGGTCATTTACTGATCACACACAACTTGTGGGAGAGAAATTCCATTTTTTCCCTTTTTCCTTTCATTCTAGTTGTCCCATTGAACAACACACAGGATAGGTGTGGGTCCTTAACACCTCTTTGTGCTTTGTCACCTTATTTAATAGCACATATTTATGTAAAGATCTCTTACACATAAGCAGTTTATTTACCTCTACTCTTTACTATTTTTGTGTGAGTGTACCGTCAAATCAGATCTGACTGGTACAGGAGGAGATTGTCCCTCCTTCCCCTGCAGAGCATCTGATGGATTCGAACCGTGCGCCTCTGGGATTGTAGTTGCAGCTCCTTGCCACTAGGCCACCAGAGCTCCCCTTCATGGACTGCCAGGAAAACAAACAGATTCATCTTGGAGAGGATTAAACCAAGCTGCTCCTTGGAGGCAAGGATTCTGGGGCTTCGTCTGACATACTTTGGACATGTTGCCAGGAGGGACGGGTCTTTGGAGAGGGACATCATGCTTGGGAGGGTGGAGGGACAGCGCAGGAGGGGAAGACCCTCTATGAGATGGATTGATTCGGTGGCTGGGGTAATCGGGATGGGTGTGTCAGAGGCGGTGCGGTTGGCGCAGGATAGAGCAGGGTTTAGAGCTGTTGTGCATAGGGTCGCTATGAGTCGGAAACGACTCGATGGCACATAACAACAACAACAACAACTCTTTACTAGAAAACAACAGTATAAAAATTAATTGGAAAACAAAAACAACCCACCAGTAAACAAAAAAATGAGTCTTCTGAATTGACATTCAAGATTGCCCGCAGCCACCAGCCAAGCATCAGCAATTCTGCCCTCTCTTCTAGAATGTTCCAAGCTGGCCTCCTGCCCCAGCCCCAGCTTCTGGGCTCTGAATTGAGCTGATTAAATTACCAAGTGCATATCAGGCTCATGACATGAACACAAGAATTGAGTCATTAGCAACTCTCTGCCTAGAGAACATGAGTCTCTTTTAACTGAACACGTTTGGTGAAAAACTCAAGTAGTATAGGTTGGGTGGGGTTTTTTTGTTTGTTTGTTTTTAAGCTCCAAATAACAGAAACTTCAAAACCAGATAAAAGACCAGGTTAGATCCTGATCTTCCCCAGTCCAGCCTGAACTCACTCCATGTGGAGCTCTACCCCAGCAGGCACCTGCCCGAGAACAGGGTTGGCTTGGTGGGCACTCCCTCTAGTGTCCCCAGCTTTGTCCCTCCTCACGCTGCTGGCTTGATGCCTCCTCTGGAGCACTTTTGGAAGGAGCTTTCTTCTGCTTGCCAGTTGCCAACCATTTGCAGATTCTCATGATAAGGGTATTATATTTGCATAACATAACTGGGGAATAATGGTGTATTTGCATGCTGCCTTTGACCAGAGTCCAAGGGATGTTCCCCATAAAGGGCTCATTAGTCGCCCAGAAGGCTCCCTGAGGGGACATGGCCTCAGCTCCCTTGTGGCAAACAGGAGCCTCTTTCTGTAGAAGACTCTTGGATGTCCCTGGACTAACTCTGATGGAGGCTAGGTCTTCAGGAAAAGGCAGAGGTTCCCTGTGGAAGCCCGACCTCCTGCCCCCTCTGTGCAGGTGCTCCTCAGCTCCCACAGAGGACGTGCCTAAGCTTCTGAGAAAGCCAGTGAAAGCCAAAGAACGAAGTCAGCTTCTACCCAAATCCTATTGTGTGTAAGCTGTGGTGCTAGGGACTTGTTATCTGTGGAAGCTGAAAGGACACAGCACAGACAACATGGATTAGGTGTTGATAAGCCTCCATTGACCAGCCAGTGAAGGGGAAAGCTGAGATCAAATCCCAGCGTCCCCACCTGAATCTGTGTAGATTTTATTTTGCTCTCGGTGCCTCTGAGGTAAAAGAGGTCAAGGAGGAGAAAGCAAGCAAGCAGGGACTGCACGTTGGCCCTTTCCCAACAGTGTATACAGTATTGTACACCTGCTGTGGAGCAGACAGTCTTGGCTGCAGGGCAGACATTTTGGGGCTATTAGTTGCCTGCTTGAGCCTATATTGAGGGCCGGCCGTGAGTGGGGTGTGCAGCCAGGGCTGTGGGTCCAGGGAAAGCTTTGGATTGAATTACAAATTCACAGCACATCTCACACCTCTCAGAGATTGACTCCCGGTTTCGGAGTCCCCTTGGCACAGCTCCCACAAGGGAGATATTGATGCCTTGGGAAAGCCCTGGTGCTAAAGTTCACACTCACCCCAGATGTGCAGACATTGCACACAGGCGCACCGGGGTCTTTAATGCACACGTTATCAGTAAATGGATAAATAGCGTGCATTGCATCCTCCCTTATTCCACACATTTTGTAAAATAGCCCGGTGATCCCAGGCGAGCCCTCCCACCACTCTGTGGCTCAGCTGTCAGCCCCTGCAAGCTCAGCACATCTCCTGGGTCCAGCAGGTGAACCGGCTGGGAGTGTGTGTCTGTGTGTGTCTCCGGCCTGTGGCTTGCTTTAATTAATGTCTGCACACACCCGTGCAAGCACGTGTGGTCACTGCACTCGTCCCCTTCACCCCAGATGCTCAGGAGAGCCCTAGGGGTACAGGCCAACTTTGAACTACATGTATAAACAAGACTCCTCTACCTTTCTTGTATTTTTTCCCTCTGAGCCAGGTACTTAATTCTTTCAGATGCCTGTTTATTTACATTCTCTCCATATCTTTCAAAGCTAAACTAAAAAAAAAAAATCCACCTTCCACAAATTAAAATGGAAGCTTCAAGCCAGGTGCTTTGAGGGACAAAATCTCCACTCCACCCTTAAGTTACCCCCAGCAACAAACAACACAAATAAATAACTCCAAAGCCAGAATGCCCTGGAAGAGCCAAAAGCCCTCTCAGACGAGAGCGATTATGCAATTGTGCAGACGCCTCACATGCTGAGTCGCCAGAGAGACACTGAGCAGAAGCAAATGAAGTGATTAGTAAAGAAAAAAGCACAGAGAAAGTCAGCGGCAGAGAACAGCGAGAAAGGGCCTCCCTGCCATTTCCTAGCACAGCACAGAGGAGAACCGCTAAGAAATGATACTTGAAGTTATATTTATTATTGTAAGAGGGGTATGATATTTCTGGGCAGGAATGATGGATGACAACTTAAATTTGTGTCCAGGGAATGAAGGTGAACTGTGACAGAGTTATTTATCTTGGGAATGGAGGTTAGGGTCAGCCGAGGCTGGGTGCCTCAAGGCACAAGACATTGACAAATTTATCCTGCAGGCCGTATCTGAAGCCCTTTGTTTTGGATCCTGGCTACTCACTAAGTGACCCTCATCCTTCATGTTGGCAATGCGTGAAGGATGCGGTGAGTGCCAGCGGCCCCGTCTCCCCCGCCGCCCCCGCCCTGGCTCCCTGCTACTAATTCTTGTCATTCACTTTGCTGACAGGCACCAAGCCCAAACTATTCCCAGTCCTGAAAGGGAAGGTTAAAATATTTATTTCGGCTCATAATGGCCTCCCTGATTTAGTGCAGGCTCATTTTTCCTGTTGCCTTTGTCATTGCAGGTCACTGGAAGGACTGAGCGCGTTCAGCAGCCTGGAGGAACTCATCCTGGACAACAATCTGCTCACAGATGACCTCAGGTTGCCAGGGTTACCCAGGCTCCATACCTTAACCCTCAACAAGAACCAAATATCCTTTCTCCTGCCTGCAGCCCCCAGTGCCGCCCGGCCTGCAGTGGTTCCCTCCCGAGCCTCCCCCCACCCCTCCACAAATACCTGCAAAATGTCAAATGAGTTTTATGTGTCAGCTAAATTAAAGTATGTGAAATACAGTCCATCGGCAGACAAAGCGTTCTGTCTTCTGGCACTCGGGACACTTCAGAGTAATTTATTATAGGTCATTCATAAATGAAATGCACCATTATATCTTCCTGTTGCTCCATTTTAGTGGAGAGATCTAAGTTATGGCTGTGAAGAAATCTTTTTAATAGATAAAAATAGAGAAAGAAAATAATGTCACTGCTGCCGAGGAGGAGGCAAACCTGGGTGTTTGCTTGGGCTTGTGTGGGAGGGCGACCTCTGGTGGGATATCGGGGGTATTGCCGCGAGGTGAACCTGCCCTTCAGGGAGGGTTTGAAGGCTCTGGTGCAAGTTTGGGAGGATAGTCTCTGCAGGGGAGACAAGGGGCAGGGCTAAGGTGGAAGGGAGGCCAGGAAACTCAAGCTTGTTTCTAGCCCTGTCTAGAAGAAAGCGTTCTGGGAAGCTAATAACAGAGGCCTAGCTAGTTACCATCAAGTCAGTTGTAGCTAAGGCAACCCCGTGTGTGTTGAAGTAGCACTGTTTCCTGTAGGGTGTTCAATGGCTAAGTTTTTGGAAGTGTATCACCAGGCCTTTCTTCTGAGGCACCTCCTGGGAGAGACTCTTCCACATTAGCAGTCTTGTCTGTGAGTTTTGTGCAACCCAGCGAATCCAAGAGAAGACGAGGAACGCCAGTGTTACTGAGAGACCCTGGCCTCCATCAGCCGGAAAGCCCTACCCAGCCCAGGATGAGACCAGCAGGAGCAAGTTGTGCAAGATTGTCTACTGCACATGAGACTCTCCTCTGGCCCAAGGAAGGCAGCTCCTTGGATGTTAGAGTTTAGGATCACCATGCATTATTACAATGTTAAGATCGACATGGCAGGAGTTTTTGTCTGTTCTGTTAAATGTATTATTTATTGATATTCAGAATAATGCCTGGTCATAGCAGAAGCTCAAGAAATATCTGGGGAATTAATAAATCATTATAATTTTATTCAATGAGCATACCTGTGGGTCAGTTAACTGTGTTAAACATTAAACATATGATTTTGAGTGCTTACTAAATCGGTGAGACCGGTGTGTTTTCTCCATTCACTTAGACGAGGACAGCAATGAAGCTGAGAGGCCCACAGCCAGACAGCAAGATGCTATGTCCAGGATTCAGGCTCAACTGTATTTGTATTCAAAGTTCTTTTCACACTGCTGTGTGTTTTCAGACTTGAATCCAGGCCCCTTGCTTTATTGGTGAAACATTTAGGACCTAAAGCAGTGAAATCATTTGTCCAGATTCCCCAGTAAGACAGGCAAGGGGTCTGGGCATTGTTCTCTCATAAAAAATGAAATCATAGATATAATTTAACATGAATACATAAGTTAGGATTTAAGAACTATTTCCACAGTAATTCTTATCTCCTGTTTGTAAGATAATTTGTTTATTCTGTCAGATATGCTATATATGGGCCTTAGTAATTCTAAGTTTATTGAAGAAGAAAAGAAAGCTTACAGATACGTATTGTTACTCTTTATCATCTTGAAAAGGAAAGGTGAAGCATTGGTGAAGGAGAGGCAGATCCTCAACAAGTCAGATTGACAAAGTGATCACAGCAATGAACTTAAGCACACTGAAGATTTCGAAGATGACACAGGACTTGCCAAGATTTCAAATGGTTGAACATAGTTTACTATGAGTCAACTCAGTACCATCTAACAAGAACAACAGTAGTCTTTATCATCATGAACTATTTGTGATAATATTCCTCCTATCTCAAAGAGCACTGGAAATGTAGTGAGTTAAGTGCTGAGTTACAAACTCAAAGATTGGCAGTTCAAACCCACCAGTTTCTCTATGGGAGAAAAAAGATGAAACAGTTAGCTTCTGTAAAGATTTACAGTCTTAGAAACACCATCGAGTAGTTCTCTGTTTCGAATGTTGCTAGGGGTTGAGATGACTTGATGGCAGTGGGTCGGGTTTGGATTTGGGATTGATTATGCTTTTGTCTACCAGGTTTCCCAGTAACTTTAATATCTGATGAAAGCAGTATGCCTTGTGAATTCCTTGACTGTCTTAGGTAATCAGATATTCTCAAATAATCAAAGACAAGATTATTATACTAGAGTTTGCTTGATATGGTTTTACCTTCATGTCTTAATACTCATATTCTGAGACTATATCAATATAGATTTTTAAATCAGTATAGATATTAAAGTCCTGAGTCCCTGAGTCCGGATAAACCCTGTCTATCTTGTGTGATCTTGGACAAGTCAGCTTCTAAGAGCCTTTATTTCTCATTTTTAAAGGATTAAGCTGGATGTGGTGATGATTTTATTTTTAAAGTCTCTGAGAGATTGTTTTTGTCCTTGTTTAAGTCTTTTCCATGCTCTGGGCCTCAGTTCCTCCAATCTGTAGCAGTAATGCTGAGGGAGTAACAATGGTACTGTAGACAGAGCTGATGCTCCGGACAAAGCTAGCCAGTTATGTTATTTTAGAGTACTTTATTGTCAATAGATACAAAGACTATTGGTTTATTTTTTCCCAGGATATCATAAGACCTCTTTTCTTCTTTTTCCTTTGGCCTGCTTGTATCATCATCAAGGCTGGCTTACTATACCCTATCCACTTGGTCCAGAGATAACAAGAAAGATAAAAGCAAACAATGACACCACCTGTCATCCTTTCAACTCAATACTCGTTAATCTGCCTTCTCAGGCAAGTGACTCTCATACCTCATAGTGAAAATGTTTCAGGCCCCCCACCAATTTCTGGATTCCATATTGCTAATGGGAGCTCTGGTGGCTTAGTGGAAAGGAATTGCACTGCCAACCCAAAGGTACAACCTACCAGCTGTTCTGCACAAGAAGGATGGGCAATTTCTTGCATATGCTTTACTACTCTGAAAACCTGCTAGAGGATCAGGTAGGGGTCAGTTCTGACTCAATGGTACACAACAAATCAACAACAACCCTATGACATATTTTGTACTTGCAGTCTAATAGTTTGCTGTATAATACGCATTCCCAACTTAGTGGTTAATAACAAATATTTTAGCTGTTTGTGATTCTATGTCTTAGCAATTTGGGCAGGACTCAGCTGAGAGGCTGTTCTGCCCGTCTTGCCTGTTATTGCCCATGTAGCCAGTTATCTAGAGGGTCCGCTGGAGCATGATGGTCTTAGACGGCCTCATTCATATATTTAAGAATGGCATTATTTTATAGATGAGCTTCAGGTCTTTAACAGATTAGCACAGTTTAGGAAAGTAAGTGTTCTAATAGCATGAATTTCTAGATACGAGTAATTTTAAAGCTCTGCTTGTGCCATGTGTTGTTCTTCCACAGACAAAGCAAATCACACAACCAAACGTAGAAAAATGAAGGGAAGGCACTATGCAATGTTTGGATTCAAAGAGACATGTCCCACCAGGGGCCATTTCTTTAATAATCCCTGACACAGGCCTTGACATCTTGTCAAGAATATTACTTCATACTTGTAATAAAGGGAGACTTAAAGCAACTATTGATCTTCTAAAAAGTAAAGGATTAACTCTTTCTTGTAAACTGAATCTTATTTTAAACATGTTAGAGAGCTTATGATCAGATAAGGTTTATTTTGTGAGATTTGTGGGGTTTTTTCATTTTAATATGTTTTGGGGTGATTATTCATTCCTAATTTACCTGCTTTATTGAATCTGCATTTTTCCACTTTGGTTTTAATTTCAGTTAAATATGGCTGTAACAATATTCTGTGTTGTAAACCAGTATAAAATGAAAAAGAAAATAAACGAATAAAGAAAAGATCTTAAATATAAACAAATTTTAAAAACCCCAACGATGTTCTATATTACTAGGACCTGATAACGGAATTGAGAGCAGATTTGGATTATTGGTGACTTTTAGCTTTTAGCAAGATTACATAGTGATTAAGAACACAGACTCTGAAGTCAACTTCCTGGACTTGCATTGTTAGTCTGTTACTTATTGTATGACCTTGAGTAAATTCCTTACTGTACAGATGCTTTGATCTCTCTCAGTAATATGAAGACAACGATAGTACACATTTCTTAGGTAGTTATAGGTTATTCTAAATATCTTGCAAATACTAAATTCCGGTATCATAGTTAATAGATGCTATATAATGGCTAATGTTTTAATAGATGGTATATAATGGCTACTATTACTATCATTATTATTATTATTGGAGAATTATGTGAACTTAGCTTATCTGACTTAAACTACAGTATAAAAAAGTCTAAGCATGATTTAGAGTTCTTTGACTTTAAAAATTCAGTATTACTCTATTAACATCTTGTGAATTGTTACCATTACAAATTAATTCTTAACATGTTTAGGAAAAGACTTGGAGAATAGGAACCTTTTTAAACTCATGTAGGTTGTGGTGGTAGAGTTCAGTCTAGAACCCAAATATGCTAGTTCGTGCCTAGATATGCCCCAGACTCTAAAATCTAAGGGTAGAGTGAGCGATCACTCCAAAAGAAAAAATAAAACAAAACAAACACAACAGCATTTTGCTGGCTGTTCTGATCTCCTTCCAACAAGGTCCTGCTCCAGCTGAGTCAACAGAGAACCTGCTCCTAAGTGAATTTCAAGAACCAAACCCCAGCATCTCAAAAATTTCTTCGAAATTCATCACTGTGTTGCCTCCCCTCTGCATGGTGCCTTTATTCTTCCAGACCATTATTCTACTTCTGCTTAACCCTCAACTTCAGTGTCCTGTCCATGTTTATCTGAAACTAACCTTAGGTTACTTGTTCATCTCCTGGCCCAGAGCTTATGGCACTCTTAATCCTTTGACTCTTTTAAACTGGCCGTGCACTGGCAATGGACTTGACTCCCCTCACCCAATAGTCATGCTCCTTCCCCTCCTCTTTTTCTTTA